CGCCGGCTGTTGACTCGTGCCCTCTACCAACGTTCTTTGGAGAATCGAGATGTGATTGCCTTTCTGCGAAGCACCTACTTCCCGGGCAACACGTCCATCAGCTATCAGTCCTCCACCTTCATGTGCTCCTACTCCGATCCACGGTTTTCGGTGTCCCAAGAGACCTGCCTATACACACAAGACGGTTCTCTGTTATCTTCCTATCCGGCCCCTTTCTACGGCGGGTGTGCTGGTGAGCGGGGGTGCCTATATTGGTGAAGAGCTTTTCTTCTGCATGCAAATGGGGTGTTCTTGAACATGGCAGTAATGCTTGATAAAAGCTGCTGTGTCTCGTATGGGAACGAAAGCGTCTGGAATGAGTGATTTTCGTATACTGTTTTTTTTTCAGTCCAGATGACGGTGGCCTGTTGCGGCCTCCTTACGCATTGAGACGAACTTACGTAACTGACGACATTCTCATGCCGCTTACATGATCAGGCGCGCCCATTTTTGGCGTTTCAGCTTTTTCCACAGCGCTCCAAAGCCGTCGGTTCGATTCGAATTTTCGGACGGCTTCGTGCGTGCGCTTTTAAGGTTTCGCCATGGCTGCCGCCATGGTTCCCGGACAGACAGGGAGTTCTTGATCTATTTTCCACGAAAGTCGCCTGTTTAATCAAGGCTCTAAGGCAAGCTTTCAACATTGTAGTACAGATCTTGCAAAACACAGATGTGGGAAAAAAGGGTGCTCAAGGAAGCTTGTAGAAAACACACCCTGCGAATATTTTTGGGTTAGCTTGTTCGAGTCGCGACCGGTTTGCAGGGAACCATTTCTAAATGCTCCAGAGGGTCGGTTCCGAAACCTACACCGAAAGCGGCGGCGGTCAGTTTCCAAAATCCACGCGCTGTTCCGGGTCAGTGAGTAACAAGATCACTGGCCCCCCTTTTGAATCTGTGCAGCATCCGTTGGCGGAGTCCCGGCGCCCTCCCTGCCCACCCCGACGCCCACTCCAAAATCAACGAGTGAGCAGCGGCGCTGTGAGATCGGCCCTCGTCACCCACCGTCGAGGAACTCAAAAACATGAGTTGTATCGATATGGAACAGATTGATTGTAACTCTAGAGCATCAACTTGAAAGTTCCCGTTCAGCGATCCACATACACGAACTTGGTCCACAAAATCGTCGTGTCTCTTTGTGCCCGATGAAGAGAGTGCGGTGTTGAATCAGGGTTTAATCCTAAGAAAAATGATTACCTGCTTCAGACTCGACTAAGTGCACGAAAGAGGAAAGTTGTTGACACGTTAGATCGTCTCATGTTTCTCGTGTATCTGTGTGGGTTCAAATCAGCCGCCCGCTTTGCGTGCTTACGATCAGTTATACGAAGTCTCGTTCGGGTATTGTATGCTTGACTCCCACTCCAAAAACGGAGCTCGAATCGGTCTTGAACGCGGAAGATCGAAAGCCAGCCAGAGTGGCCTGTTCCGGCTCTTGACCCTGATTCTCACAAAAATTGAAACCGTAGGAAGCACCCCTTATTCTTGAGCAGGATGAACAGGAGGTCTTCCGGAATTGGGAATGACGACATTTGGTCTGAAGCCCATTTGTGGCGCCTCCAGTACTGTTACGACTGCAAATGATTGCAATCGTCTAGGAATTGCTGTTCCGATTGGCGGCGAAGTGTTTGTTGGTGGCTTCGCCAACAGTCCTGGTGAATTATGTACGAGCTTTCGTGGAAAGCGTTGCAGACAGAAGTGGTTTTTGCAAAAAAACAGAGATTTGAGTCTTGCTAAGAGTGCCGTGTAAACAGCCAAAACCAGCTGGATATTCGAATGGTCGACGTCATTCAACGGTCGGCTTCTCGTGCCTTACAGATGCACTTTTGTACCCGGGCGCAACCAGAATCGGTGGGGCGCCGATGCCTGCTCCGCAGCCTCTAACGCCGGCTCTAACGCCTGCTCTGCCTACTCTGATGCCAGATCTGACGTCTCGTCCGGTCCCTCTGACGCCGGCTGTGACGTCCGCTCCGCAGCCTCTGACGTCTGCTCTGCCCACTCTGACGCCGGCTATGACGTCTCGTCCGGTCCCTCTGACGCCGGCTCTGCCTACACTGACGCCGGCTATGACGTCTGGTCCGGTCCCTCTGACGCCGGCTGTGACGCCGGCTCTGACGCCGGCTATGACGTCTCGTCCGGTCCCTCTGACGCCGGCTCTTACGCCGGCTCTGATGACGCCTTCTCCGGTTACTCTGACGCCTGCTCTGACGCCTGCTCTGAAGTCTGCTCCGGTCCCTCTGACGCCGGCTCCGACGTCTACTCTGGTTACGCTGACGCCGGCTCTAACGCCTGCTCCGTCGTCGCCACTGTTAAGTAAGTCGCACATCATCTGGGAAACTGGCCATCAGCTTTTCGATGGTCCGCGCTCCGCCATCTTTGTTTTCTAATAAAGTCATAATAGACGAGTGGCCAATCAAACGGTTCGATGTTTGCAACCGCAAGCCATGACAGGCCGAGTTAGGTTTCCCGCTCCAACGAGCAAGTCTGTCGAAGAGCACTGCGCAGAGTGCGGTCGGAAGGCCGGTGAGTCCATAGTGTCCGCAAATCTAGCAATGATTGCTGCGTCAATTAGCGTTTATAAGGCACGTCCCTCTCATGCAGGTCAACTCGCGTCCATATGCCCTCCCAACCATCAGAGCAACGATTTAACGCGAGTGGAGTGTGGTTACGATTTCGAACCGAATGTTGCAAGCGGTCTTAACACCATCGACTGTATCTACGATTCAAACGGTGTCCTAGATATAAACGAGAGTCCAGATGCCAGCAGCTGCCTAGGTGAGCGCCAATTCAAGAAGATGTTCATAAGAACTGGGGCAGGACTCGACTGATAACCTTTCGGAATTGACCGTAACCTCTGGATTGCCGCAGTGCAAGGTAGTGTTCCATAAATTCTATCCGATTGTTCTGTGGCAACAAGAAGGGGCCTGACCAATTGCAGGACGTGTTATTCATGGTTGGATGAGAGGTCTCGGCGAACGTTGGAGTTGTCTTTCATGCTGCAGGACTACCCTTCAATAGTGTACTTTGCACTTCTGAATTCACAAAGAAGCTAAGCCTATTTTTTCTATTGTTGGAGTTCTTCGGAACCGACAGTGTTGACGAACGTAGCCGTTATTTCGTACCCTACTATAACCTTCTATCGGGCAGTGTCCTTGCCAAGTTCTCGATCCCTTCCGCGGTGGTTCTCGCACAAGTTTTCTAAGTAGCTTACGTACAATCCCAGAAGCCCACGTCATTGGGCTTTTCAGCCGATGAAAGGCCACGTCGAAGAGCTTCCGCACCTAGCCCACCGGGTCTAACGTTCAAATAAAACCCACCCCCTTCTTTAGGTCCTCATAGCACTGGCAGATTTTCGGGTTCCTGAACGTTGCCGAATCGCGTGTCTCACTTACTTCATCACTGCAGGCACTACACCGGTTCCCAACTCGTGTCCGGCCTTCGGATCGATCGTCTTTCCACCAATGACGTCTGCCACGAACGTGCCAATGCTGATCACTCAATGTGTCTACACACCAATAAGTCGTTGCGTTTACTACGGCGACGTTTCGAGCGGCAGCCTGCCCAGTGACGGCTCCGACAACTGTCATGGTGAGCTTTTTATCAGCCTTTGTGAAAAGCGTCCGCAGGCATAGTACTTGTCGTCCGCGAGGACAAGACAATCGAAGATTTGACTTTCTGACGGCCCCTACTAGCTACAGCATTGATGACGCATATACGGAATTCTCGCTTTGACCATGGCTAGTCAACAAGGCTCAACATCATCACTTTATACCGGTTCTACGGAAGTTGCGCACGTACAAAGATTGGTTAGGCAAGCAATCGCTGGTTGAATTTGCTCTGCAAGGTCGCTTCACGAGGCGGATAAAAACGAGAACGGCACCTAAATTCAGTTGAATAAGGTGGAGCGGTTGCCCCAGTAGAGCGGTACACTAAAATATGACTTGTCGACCCAGGTTCCCTCGACCCGATAAGCGGAGGTCTTTCGACTCATTGAGGGCTCGTTGATCAGCTGCAGGAATTGGGAACTCCGTCTTTGTAAACCAACTTCAACACGACGTAGGAAAGAAGAAAATTCTCTTCAAAATCTGAAACTATATTGCGTGTCACTGTGTCACGATTACAAATGGGAATGAACGGCCCATCATTCTGACTCCACTTCAGCTGGACTCGTGCAGGGAGCATACCTCTCGTTGGCCCACTGCTAGTCAACGTCAACCTAACAGCCTGCGCGGGGGCTTCGGGCCCCGGCAACGAGTGCGCGGCCATCACGACGGGCCCCAGTAGAAATGGTTCGTCCGACTGCTTTTGCGGTCCTCATCTCACGGCGGGGGGCAGCCTTGCACCCCCGGCCGTCTGCCAGGGCATATTGAGGGCCGGGGTGCCGTGCTCCGCATGCACCCGGGGCTGCAACCGGGACGCCGATTGCCGCCCCGGGTACAACGGCGCGGCGGGCTGCGGCGGAGCCCCGGCCCCGGTGACCATCAGAGTGCAGGGCTTCGCCGGAATCTGCCTGCCCAACTGCGGCACCACGACTCTCCCGGGAAGTTGTTAGAGTGCGAGAATTTGGGGATAAAGCAAGCAGGTCCCAGGCTATTAGATGAGGAAGGGTAGGTAGTCCGAGCAGATTCCGCCACGTACATGCCATGAAGCGTGCAAGGTGGCGGTGCTTCGAGCACGCCTCAGCGGCTCTGAATAGAACACTTGATTGAGGAGAAAAGTATAGACTCGTCTCTTTCTTGTGAGCTCTCAGGCCTTGGTCAAAACCGAGTAATGAGGAGTCGACCGTAGTAGCTCGCCATTCTGGCTTTAGTAAATACCTGGTTAAGATCGGGCTGTCTCCTTAAGATCAAATGGACGTTAAGTGGACACCAGCCTCGCCTGTCCAAAGGCCTACCAAGCCGTAAGGTCCTCCGTGAATTCACTGTACGCTTTTGTCCTTTATATGGAGTAGGCATTCTTCTCATTTGTACGTGACAGTGCTTCTACGACACCTTCTTTGCCAACGTCTTCCTGAAGCTTTCCGGTGACAAGTTGCTCACAAACCGTGCTGATCCCATCAGCCTTGTATACAATCGCTTGATTAAATGCATGGACTCTTGTGAAAACTGAGGGCGAAAAGCCCTTCATCAACAGTGGCGGACGTCTTACAGCACAAGTTATTGAAGACCTGAAGAAGCACCGCCAGACACCAGTATGGTACCCTCGCGCGGCTGCTTTTGGAGCGACTTTTCTGACACCGGCAAAACGCCACGTCACGCCGCGCCAAACGTTTTTTCAAACAGCGGAAGCAAAAGGTTTCGAGCGCAACAACTGGTGGCGCTCGTGGTGGCGAGGCTGCGGAAGGCACTAACGGTGGCGAGAAGATGC